AAAAAGCAATACTGAGAATTTAAAGATCAGCTTTTTATTTGCCATTAAAACAAAATTTGACATTTATTTAAATTATGTAGTTAAAAATTAATGTTAACTTTAAATTTTAAGTTTAACAGAAGCTGAACAGAATTTAACAGATAACGCCGGGGCCGCCACCAAGGCAGGGATCTCTTTTCATTGTCTCGTCCGGTACGGCCTGCTCGCGTCTTTTCTTTCGACAGATAACGCCGGGGCCGCCACCAAGGCAGGGATCTCTTTTCATTGCCTCATCTGGTTGGGGATCTCTTTTCCTTGCCTCGACTAGTAGAATAACAATAAATAATGCATGTTAAAAATCAGTAGAAACTTAAACATTGAGGAACAAATGGACTACAAACTGAGCTTTCATCCTTCGGAAGACTGCAAGATGAAGCTATTTCTTTGCGTCCAAAATACTCACTTCCATCGCTGAGCATCAAGACAGCAGCACACAAGATCAACAGCTTCATTGTTCTAATTATCTTCAACGAAAAGGAAAAGTATGATCAGTCACCTACAACAGAGAATCCAATACTTATCTAGGCATGCAAACTGATGATTTTAATTGAGGGTTAAGATAGTTTTCGCAACAGGAATCCCACTTTTGTTTTAAAGAAAGATGAAGTAAATAGCACATATTAAATATTTTAATATTCACGAGAAAAAAGTTTCCGACGTGTGCACGATTAATAGCACGGCATAGTTAACGCCCCTAAAAATTAMGGCATTGAGCGTGCACGACTAAAAACATGAAAAATCTTATTAATCGAATTCCTTTGTTTTCTATTATTTAATCTACACTATTTTGCGCTATTTTAGTAGAATTACCTAGTGCGTTTTCACGCTTTGAGTGATAGAAATCAATTAGTATCCGATCACAAGAACAAATGAATACTGTATTTCAGATAAAACGTTATCACACAAGTTTTCACAGGCAAAACTCTTTTATACCGCGATCGATTATATAATTTTTTCATTATTATTATTATTATTTTTTAATTTATTTGTTTAACAATCGAACAAATAGTACAAAAAAATATAGGAAAATATAATAAATGACATTCTTGTCTGGCTAGAAGGTAGGTATAAAGGAAGATATGTTTTTTGCAAAGTACTACATGAAATTACCTCTGGGCTGCTACAGACTTCTCAACTTTACGAGTGTTTGCAAAGGTATGACTTGTAACGCATAGTCCGTCTAGTTTTATGTTAAAATTTTATGTCGATTAAGGTTGGGTCATGAATATTTAGGAACGCCAAGGAGAGTTGGGGAGAGCTGGTGCAAATACGAAAAACTAACACTTTGGGGCACTTCAGACTCGGGAAGAGAACTAATRTACCATCCAAACAAAAAATGCAGTACAATTGCAAGTAAGATTAAGATTTCAAAGCTCATTGTCAGGGTTTTTGACACTATRATTGGGTATGTTTTTAAAATATGCATGTCTTTCGGAAGATATAATAATGATTTTAGACATATTTGATAATAATGAAAGTCTAGTTTTTAGCAAATGYATGGCATGATATAAAAAATATTGCAACATCTTTTTATTATTTTTCTTAACAGAAYTGTTTATTTATTAAAGTCACTCTGAAAGCTGGAATGCCTTAAGCATAGTTCAGTTGCTATAGCTTTAAAATAAGGATAATAAGCGAAAATAAGGAAAAAWGGATTCATAAGAAATATTTTGTTGGCCTCAACAAATACATCTAGCTGGTTAGGCATCGTACGTAATGGTTGGCCTTTTTGCTATTTAACAATTAGATCTCGAGGGCGAGTGGACTACTAGCTGATAGCCCTTTTGGCCGAAAAAAAAAAAATAAATAAAAGATATAAATCTAAATGTTTTTATTGCTAAAAATACGCAAAATGTTGTTGCTTTTCGCTAGTCGAGGACTATTGAAAATAGACCCCGAGTAGCGTAGCCAATCAGAACGAAGGATTTGCAATAGTCCACTAGTATAGCAATACTAAATATATGTATCAATTACAAGCTGCGCGAATACGAAAATGCGCACGTGTACTTGTTGTAATCAATTTTCACACCATAATTATAGGTACTTTCTGGGTGATATAATATTGATAAAATTTTAAGAAAAATTATATTCATGTTTATAAGTCTGGCGGCCTGACTGCCGCAAAGGAAAAAAAAATTAAAAAGAAAAAGCCGAAAAGATTCAAACACGAAAATCATATTTATGTCAATAAAAGGTTTCCTTTAATGTTTTTTTGTATTATTAGGATGCTTCATGTGACATCCGGTTGCTGTAGATGTTGTGAAAAAGCTGCTTCGCTGTGTGAGACTAAAATAATAACTTCACTGAATACAGGGGAGTTTCGTCAGTGATTCTTCCACAGCAAGCCGTGCAGACCATTTCAGACGMGTACGCATAACCAAGCTATTTGAAATCGAGCGATTCAATAGCAACTATAGTAACATAAAAATAATATATCGTTGTATTGCGACCTTGACATATTTTGAAGTTCGTTTTCCGGATTTGGGTTTTCCCTGAAATTGCCAAAGGTAGCTGTGAGCAAAAAAAAATTGGTACCGAAAGGCAAACAAATTTACTTTGAATTTCAGTTTGGACAATGAATATCATCAATATCAATAATAAAATATAAATTACACACTCTAGTAACTGGTTATCTGACAGTACAGCTTCTATAACCCATACAATTTTACAGCAACCCTTGCCTCCTCCGCAGACATCACTAAGAAYCACGGGCTTCCTGTCCTTTTTGGGATTCACTAGTCCCTAACACGGTCAAGATGACCGTTATAAAGGAAGCCCAAAGGAGGAAAAGAGTGGCTACGGCAACCCCACTGAAAAGACCCTTATACGTGGGCCATAATTGTATTATTTCTGTTATTTGTGTGATATAAATTTGCTGCATATTTCGCGCTTTCGCATTGGTCGATAATCACGTGATATTWAGTATACGGATACGTCACTCAAGCTTACGCGCACTTTTGGTCAGAACTTGAAAGTGCTATCTGTAATTTCTGCAAGAAGCATCAAGTGGCGATCAAGCATTATGTTGCCTATAAATACACGCCAGGCGGCGGTTCCCAGGGCCCAAGGAACCTGTGATGATTCCTCCCATGGGAGCCTGACGCGAGAAGCCCTGTTTCTCTGCCTACAGTAAACATATCCATCTGAAAGATTCGGAAAAGGAATTATCATCCACGACATGGAGGTCCTTAGAGCTTTAATTTAGCTGTAGTCAAAGACATCTTTCTGATCTACTGGTATAAACTCAAGATAAATTCTCGAACGTTTTCTTCTATAAAATATTTTTAATATTTCAACTGTATTTTTACATCCAATATGTTAATTATTTTCATTCGTCTGATTATAGTTTTGCAATAAAACCGAAAGATTGTTAAGTTTTTCTTCATTTCTTTATCAATTTTATACGGGATTATCATTCATCCTCTTCAATTGTTAACATTCACTGTATATCTTAGATTTAATAATTATTTGATTATCAATATTAATCTATTTGTAAACTTTTATGACTCATTAAGAACGAAATGTAGAACCTGCGTTTGAGTGCAATGTGTAATTGTGTTYCATTGAATCCCGGTAAATCTTCTARTGRTCTGTATCTGGTACCTGCCTGGTCTGTAAACCACGTTAAGAATTTCAAGAGGTTTTTGCCTGCACCTTGTGGTTATATACCGTGCCGAATACATTACTAGTAATGGTAGTCTGATATAAGAACTGTACACCTTTTCCTGTGATTTGGAAAACAATAACGACAACATTTCATATATGAACAGCTCTCGGTGAAAGCCGTCACATTACATCGCCGAGTACATCGGCAGTTCTTCGTTTTCAAGTAACGTSACAGCGGCCATCTTAGGATTTCTTATTAGAATATATTGTTCATTCCTCCAACACGGCTGCCRGTCTTTCACATCTTGTAAACCTCATGGGAATGGGTGAAAACGATCTATTCGGCCGCAAACCAGCAGTCAACATCCCCCCCCCCAAATCTACGCACCCCCTCCCTCCCAATCAAAAAATAAATCCAAAAATGATGAAGAATGATTATGCAAATCCTCTGTGTCGTTTGCTAATTCCTGAGCTGAGCTCTGATTGGCTCGCTGCTCCCTAAGGATTTAAGTGACGTCATATATTAGCATAGAACTTCGCCGAATAGACTACCCCAATTAGATATTAGATATCTATAAGTGTCTTCATAGTACGATGGTCTAAGAGGGTAGCTAAAGGTATGCTCTAGTGGGCGGCTACCCCCTCACTCCCTGGCCTTTTGGTTAAGACTAAGTTTTATGTTCACTCGGGATAGCGTGGAAGAGCCGAAATCTCTAACCGTAACGTAAGCCGATTCGACGCCTCAGCTTCATAGAATGTCTCGGGGGAATCGTCCCATCTTTTTAGTTTTTTATTATCATTATTTCTTATGTATGCCCGGGGGGGGTTACGTCTTCTAAGTGAAAGTCCTGAGTTCGAGCCCTGCGGCTGGATTTCTCTTTTTTGCTTGTTTATTGTTTCTTTTTCTTTTGTTTCTTTTTTCTTTTTTTCTTTTTCTTTTCTTCTTTTTCTTTGCTGTTGTTACTTCGCTTGTTTTCTCTAGAGATTTTTTTTTTCAATTAAGAATATCAAGGGCTCGAAAGGAACGCCTGCTACAAGTGGATGGTTATCGCTCACTCAACACGATGACATTGTGACCTAGCCCCATAAGGTCTCTCGTACAAAAAAGAAGCAATATTTGTTTTTTAAAGTACAGAAATTAAAAACACTCTCTTGAGGTGTGGCCAGTGCAGATCCTCACGAACCGATCGCTACGAAAGGCTTAGTAACCTTCCATCTACTGCGCATGCCTAAGTCAAGAGTCACAAGACAAGATGGCCGCCATGGCGGAACTGGAACAGCACTATGGAGTTAGCAAATTTTCATAACTCAAATCTTGAAAGTCTTTAGTACTTTCCTTTTTCAATAAAACCAGATCATAATGGCGAACGTTTGGGGCAATGAAGATCTGGCTTGTTATTTTACAACCAAGCATTCTTGGAGGGGGAAGTATGTTAAACTGCATTGTTGAATGATGCTTCTAGATGAGACCGATGCGATTCTGTACATTGTCCAACAAACATTTATTGCATGCATTTGTAAAACTTCACGAATGTACCAACGGCTCATAGAAAATGTGCAATATTCGTGGTATTTCAGGTACAAGCGTATATTTTCTGTTGGAACCAAAGCAATAACAACTTACAATCCGTCGAACTTGGAGGTGACAAATCAGGTGAGCTTTATAGGCTTAATTATATTGTGGCTAAAACATTGCTCTTTGCAGAGCAAAAGTTAATTTTTGTTTAAGCCGTTAGAAAGTAATTTTTGATTTTACTGAATTGACTACTTTGTTTGTGTTTAGTTTTGTATGATTTATAAACAATTACAATATTGTGACCAGTTTCGATCTACTAGGGCATTTGAAAGATCACATTTCAAGTTGACAAAAATGATGAAATTTGAGAAGACAGGGATCTAAAAACAACATCTATACATAAAGCTTGAAATCATTATTGAATTGACTGATTTCTTTTAATACATGTAATATATGAAGGTTCAAGTGCATATTATAAATCCTTTAGGAAGTACAGTTCTAAGATTGATATCGTTGTTGCTTTCCACAGTGGGCCTATTCAGACTTTTTAAGTGTAGCACCAAGTGTTAAGGCCTACAATGAGCTCATCATCACCATGAAAAAAGGTCAGTCAGGGGAGGTGTGCATCCATGGTTGAAGTGGGGAGGGAGGAGGGTGGCAGGGAGGAGGGAGGAGGGTGGCAGGGAGGAGGGTGGCAGGGAGGAGGGGGGAGGGGTGGCAGGGAGGGCAAATAAATGTCATCCCATGATGAGTGGAGGATAATGGTGTCTGTCCATTGGAAAATTCTCAATTCTTTTTGTCCAGGATTGTAAATCTGTCACTTATGTTGATCAAACCATCGCCATTCAATTGATATCCTTTCCTTTTATGGATTGGACAGTCTGTATTGGTGAGACACCCCCTGACCTCTGGATTTGCATGGGCATAACACTGGTTGCACCCTCCTAATCCTCAAAAGTGGTTCTTAATATTAAAAGCGCTAGTCTTATTGAATTCTGGTGATTAACTGTTTTATTGATATTTGTGACTCTTAAAGGAACTGGTGGCAAAAAGACACACAGTATGACTTTCTCTACTGAACACAGAGCAGATTTAATTACAGAAACTCTGGTTAGACTTACAATAACTTGTTAAAATGTTTTTTGTAATGCATAAATAAATGAGTAAACTATCTGGTGTATTCTTGTGTTAATAGAGATTCCGTCAAAATTTTGCTGATTACAAGTCTAGTAGTGAAGTGGTAAGGTCTTCAATCATTTACCTACTTACTATCAATGATAATTTGTTATATATAATGCATAGAAAGGGCTTTTTTCAATACATGCATACTTTAATCATGAGCTGAAAGCAAATATAGGTGTTTTTGTGAAATGATACTGASGAATGAAATTTCAGCTCATGAATTATTAACACATTTTACAATGATTGATTATTTGGCAGAAGTTCAATGCCTATAAGTACCACTGGAGTGATAACAGGGTTCCAGTTGTTCTAGTGGTAAGTGTATTGCGTTTACTTTATTACATGTATTACTATAAATCTAATAATTAAATATTTGTATTACATGTAAGTACAGTAATACTACTGAAACTAAAGGAAATTGAGTAAAACCACATTAAARTAAATCCAGACATTGATTAACTGATGACAGTAATTATCTGATCAATTAAGTTATAGCTTTCCTATCTTACATTGATCGTTTCAGTTGTTATTGGCTTATTCAAAACCTTTAACATTTTGTGGATAAGTCAATGACATTTCAAATAGTTGAGTTTCTCGATCTCTTTTACGCTGTGTTAGCCTCAATTGTGTGCAAAATATTCAGAATTTTTGATAAAACTCAAATTTCAAACTATTTCCATTGTCTTCTATACCGTCTCACAGATCTATTGCATTTGCACAGACTGTTAGTTATAAAAGAATTTATTACATGGTTTTGAGGCTAACACAGCATAAAAGAGATCCCTAAAGAAGTTTATTGTCCTTAAGCAGTGAGCTCAATGTTACAATTTGATTGGTTAGTGATATGGATTTGTAGGTCCAGGGTCAGCGCTGCATTGTCACTACATACCAAACTAACAAAGCTATACTGTTATGTACAGGTTACTGCATGTTCTTTAGACCAAGTTGATAGTCGTACACAAAAGAAACTTTGCTCATATGACTACAAGGACATCGAAGGAATAGCGATGGTAAGACTTACAATACCTTGAATTCAATTTTATTTTGAACTATTATGATAATAGAGAAAAACAGTACATGTATATTTATAGAAATGGCAGTTAAAACTAAATTATATATCATGTTTATGTGAACAGGGTATACAATTTGCGTAGTCCTCTGTCATTTACTTGTACTCCTCCTTTTTYCCCCCTTGGGCTTCCTTTGTAATGATAAGGAGATGGCTGAATAGGAGGTCAAGCATTCTTTAATATTATTGTTATAAAAATCATTTTATTAAATTCATATTTAGGTATCTGATTACCCAGGAGGTTTTGTGATACTTTATGGTGGATTCAGTAGATTGGTAAGTTCTTTAAAAAGGTGAATTTTTACACTATGAAATGGTAAAGAATACAGTAGTATACACAGTACTATATTAGCCAATTGTCTCCATGGAAACACCTATGTTTATACCAGCCATACACTATATTACTGCAAGACAGCATAAAAACACCATTTTTCAGTCTCCCATGATAATTTATAATTTTATCCAGGTTCATGTTTTTTGTTTTGTTCTTTTATTAACTTTTTGAATTCTTTAGCATATGTTTGCTACTGAAAAGCGTGATGAATTAATAAAGAAAATGTCAGAATTCAGTATGGCCTATGTGGGAGTCATCTTAAAGTAAGTAGAATTGGACTATGAAARTAGTTTTCCTTCTAAAAATACATTCTAAGTAAGAGTTAGTTACCGAGAACGGAGGCATTAAGCTATATACAGGCCGCATATGGGGTTGATGAATTGAATTGAATAACTCGTTATAAATTCAGCGGGCTATATATGAATGATCCCGGTCACTCATATATAGCCTGCTGAATTTATAACGAGCTATTCAATTCAATTCATCAACCCCACATTTCCCTGCTGAATATCAAATCCCTCCCCGGCTTTAAGTTTCTATGGTATATACAACCCTATGAATAACAAAGAAAACCTAGTGAATTGGAAACTAATCATTCTTACTGTTGTTCTTGTTTAAATACCAGACAAAGACCAAAACCTATCAAATTTGAACAATATCATAAACACAGATTTGGAAAATACAGGTTAGGACATTTTGTACATAGTAAAAGCTATTCTTCTTCTCAGATTAAACTAAATAACTCATTTTGTTTTATATTATAGTGAAGATGAACATGTAACCTCTATAGCAGAATTCAAAGTCCATAAAATCACTAATCGAAATCCAGTAAGTTTCAAAACTGAAAGAGTGATATCTTGGTGGGAACTAGTGGTAAAGTGTGTGTGTGAGCTGATAAATTTAACACTGTAAAAAAGTAGGTGAAATATTGGTTGATACTATTGTTTTTGTTATGTTTTTGCAGGATCCAGTGGCACGCACCCTGTGCTTGTCAGAAACTTGTTTTGTAGAAAGAGATCCAGCAACATACTGTATAGTAACATGTCAACCTTTAAGTGAAGYAAGTTCATCATATTACTACACTATTGTATTCCCTTGATATGGCAGTTCTATATAATAATAATTATATAATATCGCATACAGCTATTTCAAAAAACGTTGTCGGGGAGAACGACGAACAGCGATTGTCGAAGAGAGATTGCACGACTGAAAGGGACTATGGTTACACTGTTTTGATAAACAAAATTTCACTTATTGGATTCAYCTTACATAAAAATGGAGACTAAAGGATCCAGTGTTTACCACAGACCATCTTACAGTACAATCAGTTGTTATTGCCTTTCAACTAGCAAAAGACCCATGGCTACTTTCGGTCGTGCAATCGCCGTTAGACCATTGACATTCGCCATTTTATCCGACAACCTTTTTTGAAATAGCTATATACAGTGGTACAATACATAAATGGTGTCATTTACAAATTTTGTAAATATTAATAATTGTGATTTCTTTGTTGCAGGTTTTTACAATTATAAGATACATAGAAAACCCACAATTATTATCAATAGAACTTGTTAAAGGTGGAATGAAAACCTACACTTCTACAGACAGGTAATTGTTTYTTGATATGAATAAAAACTGTAACACTATTACAGTACTGTAAGTTTAGATAATGATACTCTTCCTGATTATTGGATGCACTGTAGCTCATTTTGTAGTGTACCTAGAAATATGAATGAACAAGAAAGACATATTTTTGCCTTTGCACTAGAATGAAAGACTACTTGTAACGTTCAGGTCAATCTTTTAAAATTATACATTAATATTAATTTATCAATTTCATATACAGGGATTCTTTATTAGCAAGCCTATTAGATGGCGTCAGAGCAAGTGGTAACCGAGATGTTTGTGTTAAAATGACACCCACTAAAAGAGGTATAACAATAGAAGTCGAGACAAGGTGTTTTAGTCATCAAATGAAATGTCATCAAGTTACAAACTGACCGAAATTATTGCTAGTAGTCATTATTTGCAATCATTTTTGACTTGTAATTTCAATTATTTTTTGTATCAGGTTTTCGTCTAGGTCCATATATCTCACCAGTTGATGAAGAAGTAGAAAGTCACCATCTTAGATTTTTAGCTGTACCTCCAGGTATGAACCAACAAGGTCAACTTACATTTGTGCCTAACTTTGATAATAATATAATAATAATAACTTTGACTTATAAACTATCATTGCATTCTAGGAACATTTTCTGAAGCTGTTGACAGGTTTAATTGCAATATTCCTTACAATGGGCTTCTACATGCTGTTTCTCAAGATGTAAGTACGCCATAAGCTCTTCTCTCTTCTGTAGATATATAAATATTATCATTATTATGTCAGGGTTTCATTTGAAGCTGTATTTATGTAGAAGAGCACCAAATGCTGACTTAGAGAGTAGTTTAAAATGCCCTTATTTTAGCCTATTATAATTCATAGTTTTGCTTTGTAGGGTTTCTTTGCAGAGAACAAAGAGCGGCTTATCACTGGTGCTATTTCAGCTTTGATTGAGAAAGAAGGTGAATGATATGTTCATAAAATGTAGGGATGTAGGAATGCACAAAGCAAATGTAGGCATGCACAAAGCAAATGTAGGCATGCACAAAGCAAATGTAGGCATGCACAAAGCAAATGTAGGCATGTACAAAGCAATATAAACAAGCGTAGTGTGCAGATATGATTAAGACTTGTTGTAAATAATCATTATTTTGTGTGTTATTTGGTGTATTTCAGGTGATCAAAACACAGTTTCTCTAGAAGAATTAGAAGCACAATTCCATGCACTCAGAAGATTAGTGGCGTCAAAGGCTGGCTTTGATTGTTTTACTACTCTTCCTAAGTATGTTTTACTGTTTTTAGTAATAAACAATTCAATGTTAAGGTTTGGTTACATTTAGAATAGCTGTAGTTGTAATGACATTGCTCAATTTGAAAAAAATGTTGCAATGAGGAAATGATATGCGAAAAAAAAAAACAGAAATGGAAAATGTGAAATGGAAAACGTGTTGCACACAGATGTTAAGAGTTGGAAAATTGATAAATGCTATCTTTTAGACAACCAAAGGCCATACCGTATCTTGAATGAGTGATTTTACAAAATGTGGAATAGTACTGGATGCGATTATTAATAATAATCTCTATCAATATTAGATTCCGAGATAAACTTGGTATTAAAGTAGTAAAAGCCTTAAAGAGGAATGATGATGGAGTAAATCATGCAGCCATTGACATGCTGTGTGCTCTAATGCAGGTAAAGTAAATCTTTTATTATATTCACTTCTAATCAAGTCAGTAGCGTACAATAATAATTTTCATCTTCAACAGCCTATGCACGATAACTATGATCTACGACAAGAACAACTCAACAAATCTTCTTTACTTTCATCAAGAAAGTTTCTTGCTACAATTCTAGAGATCTTCAGCACCCATGTAGTAAGTTTAATAGCTAATCTTTTATTAGTTGAAAGTTTGAAAATATTTATTTAAGGCTAACAAAAGTTGAACTTTTCAAATTTAGAATCGCAGCACCGGTGCTTTGGTGATTACAGCTTTACTGGAYTTTCTCACTTTTGCTCTTTGCCCACCATACAGGTATGTGGAGCTGAAGGTTTGAAAATGAGTTTGTGGGGTTATTACATTGTATATAAATTAATTGACTTTTGCTATTATATCTAACTTAATTTCAGTGAAACAACTGAAGGCAATCAGTTTGACACATTG